GTCTTCCTTAGGGATGTGTTTTGGGTCTGTGTCCTAGTCCCTTGTTTCTCCTGCTTTATCTTCCTTCTTTGTGTGGACTGTGATGCTCTGTTGTCTCTAAGGCATTGTGATGTTTTTGTGTTTATATTTAATTGGTGATTGTATGTTGGAGTGACTTGCCCACGATTTTCATTTTCTTTGTTTTGTTTGAATGTTATCTATGGAAGCAGAGTACTGTGCTCCTCTATTTGCTAGTTGACAGCACTTATACACTCACCACCTGTCTCCTTTCCTGTTGTCAGCCTCTCGTATATTCCTGCCGACCTTGGCGAACAGAGCCCATTCTTAGGTCCCTGGAATCCAAATGAGAATGCTATTGCTTTAAAACCCAAAATGTTTGCCACTTGTAAAGATTCAAAATGGCTACACCCTCAGTCACTTTAAATATCCCAAATGGCCGCCCCTTGTAAACATTCAAAATGGCTGCGCCCTTTGTTCCTTTTAATTTTCCCAATTGGCGCCCCTTGTAAACATTCAAAATGGCTGTGCCCTCAGTTACTTTACATATCCAAAATGACCACCACTTATAAACATTCAAAGTGGCCGTGCCTTCGATTACTTTAAATATCCAAAATGGCTGCTGCATGTAAACAATCAAAATGCCTGCCCCCTCCGGACAGGTGAAAGTCAACAGCTCAGGTTGTCTCCCTCCTTGCTGTTTCCCTTCCTAGTCACAGGCCACCAGCACAGTCTTCCCTGCAGTCCGTGGTGACCAGGGTTGATCTTTAGGTCAATTCTCAGGTCCCAACACCACTTGGAAATATTCAGGCTGTTGGTCCCGTCAGAGTAGCTAAGAGTCTGCAGCTCCAACTGTCTCTGTGCTCACTGTTTTCATTCAAGTTTTTCCACTAGTTGGTGCCTAATCCACTTCTGTATAGTTCCTTTCAAAGCTCAGGGCTCCAGGATTATCTTCTGTGTCTCTGTCAATTGGTTTTTCTTTTCTTCGTTGAAGAGGGTCTGTGTTGCTTGTCTGCCTATTCCTCCATCTTACCGGAAGTCCCCAAGTCTCATTTTAACTCTTAACGCTCTTCCTACCTGGTTCTTGGCTGTTTAAGGTCTTTGCAAAACTTGCATTTAAAATTAGATCTATCTGTGGCCTGTTCCTAGGTCTGCTGTGGTTTCACCTGTAAAATGTGACTTGAGGCTATCTTTAAGCTGTACCTGTTGTAGTCATCTCTCAGCTCAACTTTTAGATAGGACTCTTTTTAGATATGAGATGAGTTAGCTTATGACACTATTGCCACTGGCCATCCATAGTATTGTTGGGAGTATCAGAGAATGATAAGAGGCCAAGCAAAACCTGTAATATTTCAATTAGATATGTCCCTTCCTGTAGTCATCACCTTCCACCTTATACTTTTCTTTGAGTTATAGTGGTACTCTTGTGCCATTATCTATTTATTTCTCTTACCTTATACTTAGTAGTTAGCTTTCTCATGGATCTCATCTGCCACTTGTTCCTTTAGCATTTAAAAACCTTAGTAAGTTTGTACATGACACATGAAGGATTAAGTGTTGAAGAAATTAATGATATCTAAGGTGTGCACATGATTTTAGAATGTTTCAGTTCTTATCTGTGTTTAATACAGTGCTTGAAATATGTTTCTGTTTATAGATTTTCTTACTGAAAAGTTGGATTAGCCATGTGTAAACACTCTCTCTCGGAATGAAGGTTAGACAATCTACTTCTGTAGTGATGCTGCCTCAGAAACCCAAGGAGGTGTTGCTGTGAATCAGATCCAACTCGATGGCAGTGTGTTTGGGTTTTTGTTTTTAAACACTCCCTAACTTAAAAATGAATTTGTGATGTACAGTAAATTTCAGCTTTATTAAGTTCAAAAACAGAAAAATAAAGTGCTCTTTCGAGGTACCTGTGTGTGAACACAAAGTGAAACAGGGGAAGGAGAGATATGAAAGTTCCGATAGTGATTGTCCCTAGGATGGGACAGGGGGTATAATTGGGAAGGGACGTGCATTTCTGAGTGGCAGGTTCAAGGGTATTGTTCATCCTTTCTAAAACTATAAATATATATGTTGTGAATGTTCTTTTGTCGATACATATTTTATATGTAAATAACTTTTGTTAAAACAGAAAATTTTACTTAAATTTCTTATGACTGCAATTAAAAAAAAAATTGTGTTCTAAACATTTACTTATTCAATGTATTCCCAAGGAAACAAAAATTAGGTATACAGGAGCCTATTAATGAAAGATGTGGTTGACTTATCTTAATAACATTCTTGGATCTAATTTTAGCAGCTGGGAGTTTCAGGTATTAGGGAGCCTCATGTGGCGGGTATGAGGATGGGACTTTTGTGGCAGGAGATCTGATAATGCGGCGGCTTACAAGAATCTGAGATACAGGAGTAGGCATAAGGGA